GGAAGGTAAGCACATAGATCTACATTTTTTAAAAAATCTATGTGTGTAAACAAGACAGTGTGCGGAGTAGCAGGTAAACTTGCTAGCTCATACTTGCTTTTTGTTGCGTAAAGTATTCTCTCTGTTTTTGGCTTAACAGACAGGAAACAGAAGTATTATTATAATAAAGGTCCATGACTATCTTGATAAGAACTTTGTAACACTGGTTTTCTTTTTTGGTTTGCATGTGTATAATTTAAGTAGGAGTATCTTATGAAAACATGGTTTTATTTGGAGAGCATTTGTGTTATGTGGGTTATTAGTTCATGAAATGACCAAATAAAAAATAGTGTGAAATTGTAAAGGTCACCCCTTGCAACACTAGGTTATGTAAGAGACTGGACCTCCGAATTTAACATTTTTATCTCTGATGATAGGAGGATGGGCTGAGCCTTGAACCCGCAATCGCACATTTTTGGATCCTGTCGCCAAACCACTTGACTACCACCACTGCCACCTGAAATGACAGATGCTAAAAAATAAAAAAACACACAAAAAAACCCACCAAAAAAACACTCAAGGTAACAAACACAGTAGTGTTATTACAAAAAAATTTATTTTCTCTCAGTGTAGCATGTTACACCTCTGAATTATTTGTACAAAATTATGTTGTAGAAATCTGTTGTTAAGGGTCTTTGTTTACGTTCCAGTGCAGCAATCTCGTGATCAGGCACACGTACAGACACACAAATGTACACACACACTCCACTTGTGCCTGGTGCACAAAAAGGTCTATTAGAAAACAAAACAAAACAAAAAACACAACCCAAAAAGAATGTTCATGAAACAACCTTAGCAATTATAGGGACACGCGTGTCGAACTGAAGAAATAATCATAATCAAGGCGCAAAGGTTACCCAGGTGAAGGAACTATATCAAATGCTCAGTGTAAGAAAGACGTATCATACGTCACTTCAATCCGCGACTGTCATTTTTCAATATGGCGTTTGGCGGATCCCTAAACAGTCGACATACACTTCACCAGTCAATTAAAAATGTAGGAATTTACGATGGTGGTCTACACGAAACAATTAGGAAGAAAAGGTCATAGCAGAGCCATTAACAACTACATATATTGCATGGACATTGCGGTTAGGGGAAATCTCGATAAATAAGGGGACAATTTTTGTGCCTTCTAAACAAGACAATTCTTAAAAATCAAATAATAGTTTGAGAGTTCATTATTAGCAACTTAAAATTAAATGAAGACTTGTAAAAATGTGAATGATTCAAACAAAGCTAGATCTAGCCACAATGTGTGTTCGGGCATGGAGGCGGGCCAGGGTCAACTGTGTATCTACTGAAGCGTCTCCGCTAGTCTGCGGACGCACAAGGCAAACGTGTAAACACACAGACACATGTGCGCACGCACACACACACACACATGCATGCGCACACACACACACACGCATGCACACCTGAAAACGTACACAGATGAAATCGTCCATGTACACATGCGCACAGAAAGACATAAAAAAAGAAATTCTGTCATTCTCAAGTACAAATATCCTCATTTTAAGACATACTACGCACACACACACACACACTTACGCACGCACAGACACACAAACACACACGTACGAATGCATACATACACACACGCACAAGCTGTACACAAGACCGTTCTTGGAACATGTTTTCATTCAAACAAAGAAATGATTTTCGATATGTCTGTATCAGATCGTCGCATTTTTTAGGGCAATCTTCTCTCTTTCCACCAATCTGTCAAACAGGCCACAGCTATGTACATGGAGCATACACCCGCACAAATACACACACACACTCACAATCACACACACAATCACTCACACACACACACACAATCACTCACACACACACAATCACACTCACAAATAAAGCATCACTTTAGCTCTCTCACTATCTACAACATCGGATGCAGATTTTTCGCCATCAAAACCACGTACAGAAGATTCATGAGAAAAACACAGCTTCAGAATGAAAAAAAAACAAAGAAAAAAAACAACAACATATTATCATATGTCATATGTGAAAATAGACCATAGTTCAATAATTGGTGACAACGGGCATAGGACATGGTAATAGTATAGTCACATCAACAGTAATAATTTAAACATATGCAAACATATTCATGATGGTGAAGTCATAGGTCAAAGGTCACACGATACTGTGTGCCAACATTGGAATAGAAGTCATTGTCATCAAGGCTAAAGCGTGGTGGAGTGAGGGAGGGGGGGGAAGGTCTCTTTCTTGTGTCTTCTTGCCACATAATTCATTTCCCACACCAAAAAAACCCTCACAGTCTCCCTCCCTCTCTCTCTCTCTCTCTCTCTCTCCTCTCTCTCTCTCTCTTGTCTCTCTCTCTCTATCTTTCTCCCTCTCTCTCTATCTATCTCCCTCTCTCTCTATCTATCTCCCTCTCTCTCTATCTATCTCCCTCTCTTTCTCTCCCCCCCCTCTCTCTCTCTCTCTCTCACATACACACACACACACACACAAACACACACACGTAAATTTACGGGTCCTTGTTCACACACTTTCACACAAAAACACTCAAATTCAAAAGTGGACACTTGCTGACTCATACTAATATACACATACACATGTTTATATATATATACACATATATGTATTTCAAAACAACTTGAACTCACTCAAACACACACACACACACACACACACACACACACACACACACACACACACACACACACACACACAGGTTGTACATCACACACCTTTCACGTTTTGTTCCAACTGTAACTGGAAATAATAGGTCGACTTTTTTTTTTCTCTTCTAAAACCATTTTAGAGGGTTATCTGTGGGTCCTCTATAAAAATCAAGAGCCAGCATGTATTACCAAAAAAATACATGTTATATAAAATTACTGTGGCTGTCTTATTTTGTATCTTCTCTCCTCTTCATTTAAATCAGAGGGGTTTTTGTCTTTTTTTGTTTTTTTGTTAAGAAGCAAAATTTTATGTAGAATAAAAGTACTGTGGACTATCTTCTTTTGTGTCTTCTTCCATCAATTAAATCAGAATGGGTTGGGCTTTTTTCTAGAGGCAAATAAAAATTTTTTTTTTTCAAAGTGAGTTACATGATTAGAATTAGAGCAAAACACCATCATTAGAAACCAAACATACAAAAAAACTCTCAAGGCACAAACTCCCTCCCATAACCAATCACTCATGCACTCAGCTGCCTACACTTCCATCTGGCCTATCAACCCACCGACACACCCACCCACCGCCACACCCACCCACCGACACACTCATGATGAAGAATAGGCAGAGAATACAAAGGAGGGGGAGGGACCATAAACCACCCCCCATCCCTCCCTTCCCCTGCCCCTCCCCTCACTCCTTGTTTTAAAAATCACAGATACATAAATATTATCCATTGGTCAGCGATATGAGGACAAGCGCATTGATTGGTCAGGTCCGGAGAGAATGAGCTATGTACAGTGACCACACGCCAGGTTCAATGCAATCACAAAACAGTTGGCAAGCTATGCAAGTCAGAAATGATTTCTCCATTACACAGAAAAGTGAAAAACACTAAGATTTAAATCTTTTAAAAAAATATATAGAATAACACACAAAAAAAAAAGAATTCATTTTCAATTCGTTATCTACGCAGAAAAAGTTTTCAAAGTATGGAAAAAAAAAATTAGACTGATAATGAAAATTTAAATGACTTCAACAACTGTAAGAAGGGGAATAACCAATTGATGACACCTTAGGCTCTTGTGTCCCTTCATTTAATAATTAATTAATTTTTTTTCCTCCAACTCCCCTAAGTCAATTCAATTTTCCCCTTTCCATCTGATGTGAGATAGACTTAATCTTTTCTATTTTTATGAAGGCCTACTTGTAGAGAATTTCAGAAAAAAATATTGAATATAATACAGGTTTTAAAGAGGTATTATTTAATTAATACGGACTGGCTACCTGGTGAAGTTAATAATTGGGTAACAAACTGGGAAAATGTTTCACGTTAGAGTTAGAGTTAGAGTGGTATAACGATACATTTTTGTTGTTTTGTCAAGAATTTGCTAAATTTATTTTGCTTTGTCAAGTATTTGGTAAATGCATGAAACAATCCAGGCACTGTATAACATTACTTCATTATTGAACGATGAGGGGGTATTGTTTTTTGTTTGATAATGATAGATCTAGATATATAATCTAAAAGGCCAAAAAAACAAGGGGGAACTATATGCTGTACTTCTTTTATGAACCTGAATTGAATATGTGACATGTCTAGACTTTTCCCGATGAAAGAAACTAAAATATTTTTAACAAGAACATGAACAAGAATTGTATTCTTCTCGTAACTTCTAGAATTCTTTGGTGAAATGACGACGAGGCCAGAGGAAACAGACCCTCTAAATAAAGCCGCTTAAAGTAGGGGACTATACAGCGATTTAAAAAAATCACAATTGAAAAAAAGGAAAAATACAAAAAGAAAAAGAACAAGAGAGAGAACAAGAGAGAGAGAGAGAAAGAGAGAGAGAGAGAGAACAAGAGAGAGAGAGAGAGAAAGAGAAAAAGAGAGATAGAAGAGGAGAGACAGAACAATGAAAGCAAAAAAAGCGACAGAAGAATGAGCAAAGTGTAGAAATAGGTTAGCGGCATGTGGACATATATCACATGAAGGCCAGCAATGAGTGAACAAGTCGGAGCCAGAAACGCTGGCCAAAGAAGCCAGGAAAAAAGCTACGCAATGCTTAGCGGTGTGGGGCGGGCGGATTCTCTTCAAGGGGAAAATGCTGTCAATACAGGGGGGGGATCGACCCTCCCATCCGCCGCTAAGGCCGGCACCGCAGATGCGGGGCCACGGCTGGACATGAGGCTGTCTTCTTTAAGGTCATTTACATTAAAGTGATAGGTACGAGATCACTCCCACGCCCACCGCCCTTCCCCTCACCCCTTCACACTTACTATCTCATCACCCCGAAACCCCTTTTTCATTACCATCCCTCCCCCTCCCCCCCCCCCCCCCCCCCCCCAAGTCTTCTTGAAAGTTGAGGGTAATTTAAAGAAAAAAACCCCCAAAACCAAACGACCAAAGCCTCCAAACTCCGAGGTGATGACGTAGCCGTTCTGTTGATCAAGTCAAGAGCTGAAGCTCATCATAGGCAACCCCAGAGAAATCAAATGCAGTCAACAATAAACAACAAATTATTAGCAAAGAAGTAAACAAGTACTTCCAGAATACAATTCAGAGCAAAAAACATGGATTTCAACTTCGCAAGCAGCAAAAAACATATACAACAACAATGAAACAACACATAAAAATAAAAATTCACAAGTCAAACCGCACCTTACTGACTGAATCAGTATGGGGTAGTTTTTTAAAAATCTAAAAAAGAAAACGTTTTTTTAATTAAAGAAATATGATAATAAAGCCCCTCAAATAATTCCAAATCAACAACAACAAAATCTACGCCCACTTTTTGTAGTAAAGTGTATCTCAATCCAGGAAAATTTCCCTGTTCAACAGGGAGATCTCAACCAAAATTATGAAAACATGGGGAGTAAAAAAACAAAAAAATCTCCCAAACAAGGACAATCTTCTCCCTCACACAAAACGTAGAGTGAGTCAGCTCTTCAAAAGGCAGATCCATGGTAGTCGAGACAGACGTCGGAGAAGGGGAACAAACTCTGGTACTCTCCCTTTGGTAACTCAACAAGGGGAGATAAAGGACAAAAGGCAGAGGACAGGAAGAGATGGGGACTTATTTCCTCTTTAACTTTATCAATAAAATATTTTTTCACAAATTCTGCCATGATAATCTGTCACCACAACCCCCCCACGAAATCTACTTACAATCCAATATATTTTTGTTACTATACATATCTCTGGATATACATTAGTTATTTCTTCGGTGAGGTCTAGGCCTACAACTTAGCCATTCAGTTGCCGAACATAAATTTAGAATTTGAAAAAGAAAAAAGAAAGAAGCAAGGCATAAACAACTCTGCATGCCATTCCATTATCTTAAACCTATTTGAAAAAGAAAAAAAAAGAAAACATTAGAATGGAAGTTCACGGTGTCTCTAACTGTCTACTTGTAGAATCTACAAATGGTCAAACCACTTCAAATCACTTTTAGGTAAGAAAAATTTTGGTAGATATAGCTCTCAAAATTCAAATCTGACTAAATATAATATAGCACTATAATGCTGTATATTTTCTTTTTAAGACTCAGAACATGGAGCGGCAACAGTATGACTGTATGCTTTTGCTTTGCTACAAGCAATTAATAAAATACAAAAATAACTCCAGTCCTAGTAAACCAAAACAATCATCAGCAACTGACCTTGAGATTGTTATTCATCATGCATGGTGTAATCAAACGTACTGGAACTAGCTCTTCAGATTCTTACCTTCCTGCTGGATATGATTAATCAATCCCATCTCCGAGTCTCACTGCCTCTTGTTCAACTATCTCTCCTTTGATCGTAATCGAAATACCAGGTAGTTAATTATTTCGCAACAAGTTTTAAAAAAAAAAGCTTGTCAAAAAATACAAAACTTCATCAGGACAAACGGGAAAAAAAGGGTCACAGAAAAAAAAAGGGTAATTGATAATATCATAAGAGATGGCATAGCATAAGAAAACCGTTGTATTCGTAAAGTTTGGTGGCTTAAAGGTTCCCTGAACGAAGCCATCGTAATGCGGTGCGCGTCTCTTTTCTCTGATGGGATGCTACCTGTACAGTTCCCAACTCTCGCTCGCAGGTACTGACACACAGATAGACACACACACGTCACACAAACATTCCCACACAAATACCCCTACACAGACCCCCCCG